CCTGTTCGGCGGCGAACACGACGCCGCCGCAACGTGGACAACCTTTGCCGGGCGGGGCTTTGATTATGGCGGTGTCGATCACGGTTGTACGAGGAGCCGCCTCGCTACGATTCAGAAAAATTCACAATTCCCTTGATCCGAAGCAGAAATTTACTTATCGACACCATCGAGTCGCTCGAGTGAACGAATAAATTTAAAATTTTTTAATGAATTATTATTTTTCTTTTTTCCTTTTCTTTCGTCAAGAGAGATATGGATTCGATGGAATTCAAATTTATTCCCGTTCGAGCGACTGGTGGTTCGAAGTTTCTCGGGGATCACGATAAGAAAAACAACTCCATGCAAAGTGGAATCGGTCGATATTGATCGGCGATTAAAATTCAGAATTGTCGATGTAAAGCGTCCATCGAGAATTGAATTTGATCAATATCGTCGAGCACGAGATTTGCTTAAAGGAGATTTTATATATATATATTTTTTTGTTTGTTTGTAGTAAAATCAACTACTGTATTGCGCGAAAAGGTGCATGCTTTTAGTGCACGATACTAAATTAGAGATGGGCGAGAGAAATTGTTATTATGACTCTTTAAGAATTAGTGTCAGTTACAATCAGAAACGATTTAGTCAGACTCAAAAAATAAGATAACTAACGAAGGTGAGTAATAGCGCAAAGCGTTAAAGCGTCGATTTATATGTACGCCACGAAGACGCGTGCGTTCGTTCTTTTCTTTCATTCTCGCGAAAATCCGATTTCTTCAATTTGAGCGATATAAATGAATCCTGAACTTCTCCCCCCTTTGGAACAGCTCTGTGTTTCGAATTTCGATAAAAAAAAAGGAAAAAAAAAAAACAATTATTCCATCCAATTTTAAATTTCATTTCACGATATCAACGATTTCCACGATATAATTTCATCGAATTATGTATCGAACGATTTTAAAAATTTTTTTTTTTTCTTTTCATAAATGCAAGAGAACTTAATCCTGTCAACTTGTAAAATTTCCCCAATGATATTAATTTAACGCAACAGCGGATGAATTTCGAAACACCATCCAACAGTGCGTTGTTATTCCTCCAACAATTATTCGATATTTTGCAACATGTGTATATCTTTTCCACAGGAAAATTACGTTTGAGAATTAATTGGAGGAGATTGGGAGAGCTCCCTGAGAAAATCAATTTGGATGGACACAAACGGATACAAACACGCGCACGCACACAATATACACACACACACACACATAGAGAGAATAGTGGCGAATAGTAGCATAACTAAGGGGACGCGTACCCCTCGTCCTCAATATCGCACTGCAGCCCGATCCACATAACCCCAGCGTGGCCAATACCTCGCGGACCGAATTTCTTCGGATAGCAAGCTGTTAAGCAGACAAGCGCATCGTATATAGTGAGAGTGTAGAAGCCGAGAGGCGGGATATATCTCGCGTGTTCCCGTCTCAGTCTCGGCTCTGAAAACCCACCCATTAGCGTAGCAGTCGCTTTGTAGGGCGCCACCACCCTGGCCGTACCCATAACCCTTCGGTCCGAATTTCTTTCCGTAGCATACTGCGGAGAACATTGGTTAAAGGTATCTGCTCTGTTCTTCAACCTAGTTGCCTACGTACACGTTCCCAGGGATATGTCCTATACTTGGATACGTTCTACTTTTTTTCCTTTTTTTCGTCATCGATTTAGAAATCGATCGATTTTTCCATTTTTTTTCTTTTTCGTGATTTTATCACGAATTATGAAAAGGAGAGATATAGATATCTATCGATTTTTTGATTTTTTCTTTTCTGATTTTATCACGAATTCTGAAAAAGATGAAGAGATATAGATATCTATCGATTTTTTTATTTTTTTTTTTTCTGATTTTAACACGAGAGAATTCTGAAAGAGACTGAGAAGTATAGATATCGATTTTTTGTTTTTTTTTTTTTTTCTAATTTTATCA